CCCCAAAACCCCAAAACCCCAAAACCCCAAAACCCCAAGGTGTGCTCCTAAATTTAAATGTGGAGGATAAAATATTTTCATAACACCAGGAAATTTCTTAGAACGAGCTCAAAAACCAGTTGAAAGTCTTCTCTAAGTAGAATCTCAGAGAGAAGATTTGCTGCACAGATCTTCAACAACTGTGAAGAAGCTATTCATGATATAAAAGATGGATCGAGGATAGCTTTTGGAGGTTTTGGAATTTGAGGCATTCCAGAAAATCTAATTGAGTCAATCAAAACCAAAAATATTAGAGAACTTGAATGCATCTCTAGCAACGGAGGCCTTTCAGATTGGGGTGTCGGAAGACTCATGATTAACAAACAAATCAAGAGAATGATCGGAGGGGCTATCATGGAGAATAAACTATACGAAAAACAATATCTTGAAGGAGATCTAGAAGCAGAATTTATCCCACAAGGCACCCTCGCAGAGAGATTAAGAGCAGCAGGAAATGGAATTCCTGGTTTCTATACCAGAACTGGGGTAGGAACCTTCTTAGAGCATGGAGGTTTCCCAATTAGGATGCCTCAAAACGGAGAGGAGGCTACCTTAGTTACAACTCCTAGAGAAGTGAAAATTTTTGATGATGCTAAATATCTTTTAGAAATTGCACTTAAAGCAGATTTTGCTTGTGTAAAAGGATGGAAAGCTGATCAAAAGGGTAACGTAATATTCAGGAAATCAGCAAGGAACTTCAACATCGATTGTGCTAAAGCTGCTAAAATATGCATTGTGGAAGTTGAAGAGATAGTTCCGACTGGAAGTATCGACCCTGATAGCATCCATCTCCCTCATATATTCGTTCAGAGGTTAATCAAATGTGATAATTACGAGAAAAGAGTAGAACAGCTTACTAGTTGTAATAAAGATGGCAAAGTTGATACTTCATTGCTAGGCAGAAACGCAGGGGAAGTCTCAGAGTCTTGCTTAAAAAGGAAAAGAATTGCAATGAAAGCAGCTAAGGGTCTGAAAGATGGCACGTACGTTAACTTAGGAATAGGAATACCAACTTTGATATCCAATTTCATCCCAGAAGGACTTGACGTAACTTTTCAGAGCGAGAATGGCATTCTTGGAATGGGGGGATTTCCATTAGAGAAGGATATTGATCCTGATTTAATCAATGCAGGAAAACAGACAGTTACCACTGTCCCAGGAGCTAGTTTCTTCTCGTCATCCCAATCGTTCGGGATGATCAGAGGAAAGCATATTGATGTAAGGAGTGTTAATAAATCTATAGGTTACATTTTTGGGAGGATTCCAAGTGTCTGAAAGTGGAGACCTAGCGAATTGGGTCATCCCAAAGAAACTTGTCAAAGGAATGGGTGGCGCAATGGATTTGGTCCAAGGAGCCAAAAAGATAGTTGTCATGATGGAACACGTGACAAAGGACAATCAACTCAAGGTTCTCAAAGAATGTGAGCTCCCTCTTACGGGTGAGAACTGTGTTGACGAATTAATCACAGATCTTGCTATCTTTAGATGGAATGAAGAGAGGAAGATGATATTAGAAGAAATAGCTTTTGATACGACAGTAGAAGAGGTTCGAAGATTAACAACTGCAAGGTTTGAAATTTCTGATAATTTACAAACATTTTATGAGGAATAAAATTCAATTTATATTAATACTTTTGGGGTTTTGGGGTTTTGGGGTTTTGGGGTTTTGGGG